CCATCTGAGCAAGTCATGCTTACCGTCTATTAAATGTAAGTAAAAACATATAATAAAGCATGTAAAGACTGTCATGTCAAACAGGATGTCTAATATCTTATTAATACCCAAAATGATAGAAACTAGTGTGCTCCTTGACAGATAATGTTGGAAATTATAAAATCAAAACCATTTTGACTTAGTGTTACTAGACAAAGAATAACATCATGCAAATTGTTTCAAACTAAATGCACACCCTCTCAAATCTCATTTCCAAAAGCAACAGATGCACAGATTGGACTGCAGAAATAATCTGAAATATATTATTCTGGAGTATGAATCTAGAAAGCAAAAGAGAAAATTTAACTCGAATGAGTACAGGAGCCCAATGGAAGTATGGTAACCGAAGTAACAACAGAAGCACTAACTTAACTCAAAAACATTTTGTTCTGCCTTTAAAATAATGATTTAACCATCTTGTTTTGCAATATGCATTAGATATATTCTCCCCAAATGAAAAACCATTACTGTTTTGATAAAAGAAAATGTTAGTTGACATGTTTAATTTAAAACGGGTCCTTTAAATAAGTTGGCATCTGTGTCACTTTTCATATGTTAAATTAATTGAAATCCTGTGCACAGGTAATATATAAAGAAATTAGGTCGCAATTAAGCATAGTTATTAATGATTGTTAAATCTAATTGTTGTGACTATTATAGACCATAGATGAGGTCAACTCTGCAACTCAGGAAACTTTGAAGAAAAATATCACCTGAATTGGATAGATGAAAAACATCTTCAGTAGGGGTACAGTTCCATTAAACATGGCCAGCCACTTCAAAATAGCTGTTTCCAAACTGCTGTACTTAAAACATATCCCCTGTAATACATTCTTCTTTTATTCATTTCAAAATACTGAATTGGGTAACAGTTTAAGATGACACTTTGGAAAACACTGTGCTTTAAGCAAACCCAAAATGTAAGCGTAACTCAGTAATTGCTCCATAGTCCTTGCATTAACTTCATACATATTAAATATATGTTTCATTTCCTGCATGTCAGCAGCAAGGTTTGGATCAGTACTTTTCAGGTTTTTAGTCAAGACCACTTCTCTTGCATCTATGTGCATTAGAATGACAGAAAGCAGGTATCACCTAAAAGGAAACTCCTACAGAAAAATGATGCATCTCTTTTCTAATCTGGCTACAGGAAAAACTGGGGAACAGAAGAAGAAAGGAAAATGGTTATCCTCTCCAAAACTTAACACTGGGTCAATAAATTCCAAGCAGCACCAAACACAACATACTTTTTCTATTTCTTCGCTATATCAGATCTGAGACAGTCTGTCACAGAAAGCCACACAAACATCTGCACCAAACATATTTCCACTACTCTCCTGACTGAGCAGGGTCCACTTTAAGAGGCTGTTTAGCTGGATATCACAAAAAAGTGTCCTACAGTACCTGATGCCTGCCTTGGACAAGTTCTGATGGTTAACAGGGTAAATCTATATTAGTACTTTACTGCAGATAAGGAGAGCACCTCTGCAAGTCTTCCTGTCATGCTACTTCCTACATTTTGGTTTGCTTCATGAAACAGCTTCAGAGTGCACAAACTTAGTTTCTTTGAGATGAAACATGGGATGCACTCCAGGAGGTCTGCAAAGGTTGATGGACTACATGACAGACAGATCCTACAATCCTACAGGTATCAGGTCATCAGCACAATTTTTTTGCTCCTTGCATCTGCTTTTCGCTGGACTCCACCATTTGCTCAGGAGGACCCAGCCACCGCGCTTCAAGGTCTCCCTTCTCCTATGAGATGCAACCTGACTGCTCCTTCTCAGGCTTTGCTTCCTCTTGGGTTCCACTTCTTGCATTATTCAACATTCACACTTGCAGTCTGCCATCCCTACCCGCCCGACCATTTAAATACAGTAACTTCCTTTTCCTGGATATTGCCTACTCCTGTCAGGCTAAAACAAGTCAAATAAAGACTAATCAAAGCCTCACGATTTGATCATCCTTAATTAAGTAAACATAACTCTGATGCTTTATTTTGAGCGCTGTATGTTTTCAGAAGTGTAACACTTTAGTATAGATACATATATGGAATTTCTTAAGGTTAAGAAATCAAACATGCACTGAAAAATAGCACATTCAAGCCAATTAAGTAGAATCATATTAATTCTTCCAGTGCTCAATAACAGGATTAAAATGAAAAACTACATTTTGTCCTTAGGCCCTCTACTACTGATATGGATACTGCACTAGAATAAAGCAAATGTCTTCTGAGAACATTCCACTGGCATTAGGAATTCCACTACTGTGCTCTATGAAACCCTCTCCTCCCCAGCCTTCCTCTGAGTCTCAACTCAGACAAGGACCTCCCCTCTCATCTCTATATTCTATTCACTTAGCTCCCTTTTATAATCTCCTACATTGTTAGTGAAGTTCTTCAACACAGCCCTTCATCTCGGTATTTTCAAATCTTTCTCATACTCCTTGACTAGGCACCAAAAAATCACAGAAAGACATTATAGCTGTTCTCTCTTTCTTACACCACAAACCTCCCTGACTGCCAAAGGGAACAATTTAAGAAGATCCTAGGCTGTGCCCACATGACCAAGTAGCAGGCAGAAGCCTAACAGAAGCAGGTAGGCAGAAGAATCAGCTGGTGCTGAGGCTCCTGCTTTCACACCACATTTTTTTCAGGCTGATCTGCCATGCACATGGTTCACGACCATCCAAACGGCCAATACTTGGTTCATACCTTTATGTCTCAGAGAAGGGCAGGAACTCCTTGTGGTACACACCTCGACAGGAGCCACTAGTTCAGTTTCCTACAAGAGGAACCCAGCCTAAACAAGTCAAAACTACTGTGCAAAACAAACTAACAAGCATCAAGTAGAGCTGATTAGAGCATCAACTTTAAAAGTACATTAGCATTACAGTTTACCCAACCCCTTGATGTTTCTTGGTATATAGAGAATACTTAGCTGCCAAAATCAGAAGCATTTACAGAACACACACAAATTCCAAATTTCAGAATTTAGATACTTTTCCTGGCAACAATAATTTGTGTGTGTGCGTGTGCATACAAATAAAATAAGGTTTTTTTAAAAAATATACAAATATATAAATGAATATATACATGTATATAACAACTCTGACTCTCTTGCTTCAAAGCATGCTCAAGGTAAAAGTTGCAATTAAATGTAATGCATAACTGTTGAATTTAATTATTACAAATTTCTGATATATCAAAATATGATATATCAAAACACTACTTTGTTTTCATTACATTCTTCTCATACGTAAACATGAACACTTCATTCATCAGAGTAAAGTATATACATGAAATTGTAAGCAGAAGATCAGATCTAATAAAAAACCCTCACCTAAACACAGACAGTTACCTAGAGCAAGGAGAAAAAAAAGAAAACACAGACGATGTGCTCAAAGTTAATTAAAATAAGGAAAAAGACATGTCATGAAACATCTTTACATAGAAAGTAATTACTAACATAATTCGCATCGAAATGTGAACTTAGTAGGCTTTTCTTTAAGTAACAGAGCATAAAACAACACGACAATGAAAACCTTTATTTTGCATTTCAGATTTTCAAATATTCAGGAAGACGTTTTGTTTTAATGTGCAAAACCAAGAACCCTTCCTGCAACCCCAGTGCTCGATACATGCACATCAGGTGCTCACAGAGTTTATAACAGGTGAGAATGAGCATATTTATGTGAAGAAATTGCTATTATGTAAGAGAGCACTGTTTTAATGATTGTGATCATTTTCTCATATGTTTGAAAGAAATTATGTGAAATAATCAAGAGAGAAAATCAGATATCCAAACTGCGCAGAAAAACAAAATGGAAAGGAAAAATGAATTTTTAAATAGTTCATATCAAGCAAAATTTGATTCTATATATATACACACATGTTTCTAAAACGGAAAGCAGAGCTTAAGCTTCACATAGTCTAGTATATTTTCATCTACATTAAGCTTAATGCATCCTGAAATACAATGTATGGGGAAACAGAATAATAAATCTCCTTTCTAGTTCTACTGGTTTCTTTGACATTTAATGTCAGTCTACAATAATAAATAAATAAAAAGCTGGTAAGGGCCTTTGTCTCGCACACTGCTATTGAAAAAAGCATTTCTCAGTAAATTAAAGGGCAATTGCCTTCACAATATTCCAGAGTAAAACTTTCTGGGCTAGAATCACAGAAGTTTATGGCATAAACAGCCTTTTAATCCAGATCACATTCTCTCTGCAAGCAGAAATGATGCTCTTTTGGAAACAAATATGTGCATAACCACAACCCGAAGCAGAACAGCACGAAGAATGGAAGGCTTCAACCAAAGTTCATTACAGGATACCAACGCCAAACACTTCCAGAGGTTTCCCGTTTATCAAAGCCTAACATACAGTAACTTTCCCGAACTTACATGGTGACAGATTATAAAACGACATTTCAAGAATTTACAGGAATTTAAATATAACAGAAAATTGTGCTTTAGAGTAAGCTATAATTAGGACCATGTTTTTTACTCATATGGCTTCCAGGTCTGCAAAGTAATTAGGTACATGCTGAGCCTTATACAAGTTGTAGGCTGACTTTATGAGGATTACTTGCATACGCAATATAAGTTTAGCCAAGGTGAACGATTTTAGGATCTAGGAAGTTTCACATGAGGCACTTCATCTACAACAGCTTACAGGTAACCTTGTTCTCAGCACCTTTGTTACTGCTTCTCACAGCTGCCCCCACTTAGCCTGATACATGGGTGACAGCAGCTGCAGCAGCAAGGTTAACTAGGAAATACCAAGGCCAGCTTCCCATTTACTGTTGGTTACCCCTACAAACACATACAGTGTTTACAAGGTCAGAGTAATTTGCTGTGGAAAATATATCAAAAGTGCTCATATGTATGACTATATATTGCTACTGTGCACAGACTGCTATACATAGGAAGAACTTTCCATTAACATCTAGAACTTACCCCTCTTTTGAACCCAGCCTTCCTTCACAATGGTAACATCGCTCATGATGGCTCCACTCTGAACTCCCTCCTCAAAAGAGTATTTCTTTGAGTTATCAGCTTGCTTGTTTGGCTTCTCTTCTGCAGCTCTTCCCAGTTTCTACTGATGAGTCAGCCTGGAAGGAAATATTAGAGAAAGAATGTAAGTCTTCTCTCTTTCTCATTTGTCAGCCAACAACGTCTTTGTTGATGTCTTTCACTGACTGAGCTCATATTGAAAATCTGCCTTTTTTTTTTTTTTTTTGTAAATCAACCACATAACAGAATCATGTCTCTAGTTGTATAGTGTGTTTTCCATAAACACTCTACTTTTTAATAGAAGCAGAATCTGTTAAGTTAGATATCTGGCATTTACAAACTGTACACAGTCGAACTATTTTGTATTCATACACAGGATACCAATACTGGTTGACAGGTCTAACTTGCAACTTACAAGACCTTTGACTATCTCTACATTTGTCAGAATCTATGTAACGGGTAAATGGTTCTGCATTAAGACTTCACTGATCACATCAAGAGTCCAAGAAAAGAGAAAGAAAGATTCATTAAGGAACTTAACTATATCCATAATACTTAAGGCGTTTTTTCCCCCCATAACTCCAGAATTAGCATTAACCGATTTACCACACAACTACACAGACATGGGGCGGGGGGGGAGGGGGAGAGGCAAAAGAAATAAATAAGCAAAAAGAGCAGCAAATCAATGAGTAGAGTAGCAGAAAAACAGCTCCTTAGGAGTTTAAACTAACCAAAAAAGCCAATGTTTATAGTTTATGGAAAGAAGAAATACATATACTTTCAAGGATTTAAGCCAGGCGGCAACAGGAGTGCTCTTTTCCCTTCAAAGCTCCGTTTGCACAGGACAGAAGAGACCCCTAGCACCAGACATGCAGCACTCAGAGCCACAACCCTGTCTTCTAGTCATCTCACCCCCAGAGTAGGTAACAGCTAGGAAGAGGAGATAATAGTGCAGTAACCAAGTAGGAAGTGAAGTCAGAGGGCAGGAAAGGTTTCTTTCAGCCAGATTTTTCCCTCCATCCTTCAGGAAAAAAAAATAGGAAAGAAGAATTCAAGTAATACAGATCTGGAGAACGGGAGGCAAAAGGATTTCCCAGATGGTGGAAGAAGCCCCTGCTATGGCCACATGCACACAAATATACATGTACACATGGAACAGGACACACAGACCAGTTTAGTTCCATCAAATGCAGCAGCTACATATCTGTTTAGATCAGCAAGTGTAGACATGATAATATGCAACACCAAGATGAATGCTGTTGTGCTAGAAGCAATTTGTACAATGAATGAATGGAGGAAGGAATAGGCAATCAGCTGTTACAAGCCAAACAATTACAGACTAAAAATCGAATCAATATACATATGCAGGTTATTTCTTACTTATCATTTGAAAAATGTTCACCACCCAGCAGTTAGATGGATGGCTTCTTCGGTAGGGGTGCTGTGCAAAATAAACTTAATAGCAAGATTCTCTTCTGGTTATACAAGAAAATATGCAACAAAACACGCTATATAGCACGATTTTACAGAAAGACTGAAGTGGGTCCATTCTACAGTTTTGATTTCACTGACATAATTTTTTGTAGTTCAAATAACAAATGGTTTTGAAAAAGTAAAAACCCACAATGTGGAATTCATTCTGGCCTCAAGACCTAGGAATCTCCATAGCATTAGCAACAGGAATGTCAGGAAAAACTACACGCAGCCCTCTAGATGTCCAAAGGACCCTTAGACTTTATGTACCAGACGATATGATGAAAATGAACAGAACATGCATTTCCACATCCTTAACCTCACTGGTTTGCAAGCTGTTTTCTGGGGCATATCTTACGAGAACTTTTGATTTGCTTACACTAGTCTTAAGTGCACAAACAAACATCTGTATTTGGAAAATATTTTTTGAAAAAAAAGTGAAAGCAGGTTCTAGCTTTGCCATTCTGGATCATTGCAGCATTGCATTAGTTCTGATTATAAACACACAAATCATTACAAATTCAGAGGTGAACATAAACCAAATGTAAGCAAATTAGTCTCCATATATCTGACTTAAATTTGATTTTCCTACAAGACTTTCATTCCATTCTTTAAGAATTGATCACTGGTGACGTTTCTGTCAACAGAACAGAATAAGCAATGTAACACACAGTACTTACCTTGGGTTGGCATATGCTGCAATTTGTTTTACCCTTTTGTCAATTTTAATGTACTTTCTGACTTTGATGAGTGCTTATGAAAAGCACAATAATTCATTTTTATAGATTCTAACTACAAGAAAGCAACTTCTACAATAAGCAGTCATAATCTGGTTTGCACACATATACTGATCATTAAGTCTCTGCTTTCCATAGTCACCTAACTTTAATGACTGTATTTTTGCTTAAAAATTCCTATTTATCCACTAATTGAAGTTAGTATCATTTAATCGAAATTTGATCTATGACTAATTTATGCCAGCCAGTCTCTCAATAACCTCAAATGCAAGTCTATAGGATCACCTCCTATCCACCCCATGCTCTACTTTACTGAATCACAAGCAAATCCTCCAGACTACATGAATTAAACAAATATGGTGACAAAGCTAACTGAATTATCTCCAGCTTACTTTCACAATATCACCAAGAACAACCCAGGCAGAATTATCAACAATTGTATGTCAAATGTAATGGTTATAGTCACAGTTCCCTGAATGGCTGAAAAGCCGATCTGAATTACCCAGGAAGCTGAAGGAGACCAACTAAAGCACTGAACAGGCTTGATGAAAATAAAGATTGTACCTTCACACTACACTTTCAAGAAGGCATTTGTAAGCATCCATTGTCCTATTCTTCATTAAACTCCTCTGAGGCTTCCCCAATGCCATTTTCTTTCACTCTGAAAATCGTGCAGCAACGCACTAAACAAACAAACTTTCAAGAATTACTTATTGTAACACAAATTGACCTTAACGACAAATACTCATACAGAGAAGCCCTCCCCTGAAGATGTAATAAAAGATTTTTATAGACCTAAAGGAGTTCCTTTGAAACACATAGACACCTCTCATATGCATTCAGCATATGTATAAAATTTGTACTTCTACAATTTCAAGAAAGCTGCAGAAATGTTCATTCTGCGGCTTGCACTGGACTTAAATACTGCACTTGTTAGCCATCATCTCCACTCTACAATACACTTTATGGTTCAGTTGCTGATATACAGTCATTTTTATTTTCCCTTGTTCCTTTGGAATGAACCTATATACACCGGATAAAATATAACAACTAAAGTTGGAGATATTTTGCATTCCAGCTTCTTCCCAGATTAACTTGGATTTTAAAATATGTTTTACCAATTTGAAAAATAAATGGGATTGTATCTTTTCATCTTTATCAAACAGAACTTTAGAATATATTTTTAATGGTGCATTGCATATATGTCCAGACTGTATCAAGCATACCCCTAAACAATGATCAAATATAAATTACTTATAGTAAGCCACAGAGTTCCAGGCGCTTTCACTGAGACTCCCAGTTTTGCCTAGTTGTGGTGAAAAGCTAACCAACGCCTTTTTCACATTCATCCAAACCTCTCAGCCTAACAGTAATACAGAGAAAAAAAAAAAAAAAGCTTATTTTCATAATGGTGACTGTAAGAACAATTTCCAAAAGGGGCAAGGGACCACTCGTTAAGAAGATCTTTTTTTTCCTTTTATTTTTAAGTTAAAGTTATCCTGCCCACAACAGCAGTCAGCTGTTTCCAAAGACTGAGTGGATAGAGAGAAGGCAATTGCTTCCTTCCAGCCAGGAGGGCTAAAAAACAATGTTTCAGGTCTACACTTCACAACCACACACAACTGAATTATCAGCAAGATTCACCAGAACAGACAGCAACCTCTTGGAATCTGGGCACCCTCCCATTTCCCCTGCAATAAGAGATGGCTGAAGAAAGACGACAGTGCCCATAAATTCGCTGCAAATTGTATGATTCAGGTTCCTGTTGTAAGAACTTTCACAAACACAAGCTCCTACTTTCAACAATTTTGGAACTGAGAAAAGAAAAAACAAAACCCAGGAAGAACGAAAGAGGCAGATGCTATCACATACTACACCTAGGGGAAAAGAACTTCCACCTGCATCGCTCTTACCTCTTCCAGCAACTACCCCCATAAACTTCTGTAGCATTCACAGCTTCTGATTCACGCACTCTCATTCTCTTAATACCCAAAGATGAGGGTATTAATTACAGACTTCCCCTGTTTAGAAATAAACATTTCTTTAAGAAAATGCTTGAGAGAAGGAGGACAGAAACCCCAGAAAGTCTATTTTTCTGATTTGCTTTGCCTGACTTGCAGAGATTCTTTAATCTTTAACATAACCGAACCAAATCTCAACATCTTCATTTCCGTGTTTCTCAGAAGGGAAACTGAAAATTATGTGCTTGCACACACAAAACACACACTAACAAAAAGAGGAGTCCTCAGTCATCATCTAGTGGTTGTCATCATCTACATTTTTTTTTGCCTTTTTTTTTTAATAGCAGACTAAGTTCTTAAAAGTTTTTTCAAATCTGGGACTGAATACTCCAACACAACCCAACTAAGGTTGTAACTTTGTCCACTTCTGTTAATAATCACAGAGCTAGAAATTAATAAGATGAGGTTCTAAATGAAAACCAGAGTTCTCTTTCAGATTTCAAGTAGAGATCCAAGTTTTGCTTAGATGAAAAACGAATGCATAACCTTTTCCCCTACCAAAGTTGCTATCTAGGAGTCTTGTTGAAAAATTAGAGGATATATTGCACATCATCGAAACACAAACACACAAAAAAGGGACTACATTGCAGAACAGAGAATATCACAAAACCTACAAAATTAAATTACTGATTAAAAAAAAAAAGATCACATCCAGTGCAGTACACTGGCTAGATACTGGCCATACTGGTTTTTACAAACAAAGTATTCTCAAATTTTAGCTATACTTCAAACACAGTAGAATGAATTATACCCAACTCCAGGGTTGATTGGCACAAATATTACCACTTCTTTGATTGAAAAAAATCAAACTGCAAGCAGATAGTGTATGTTTCACTTATTAGAACCATTTAAAAATGTTTTTACAAGACAA